CACATAGAAATTAGGCATCACTTCATACGAGATCACGTCCAAAAGGGAGATGTCACAATTGAGTTTGTTGAAACGAAACATCAATTGGCAGACATTTTCACGAAACCCCTTAGTAGGGAGAGCTTCTTCCACATTCGGAACGAACTTGGAATTTTGGATATCTCTATGAACTAATCCATTCTTTTTATTGACTATACTAATTTGAGCGTCGGAGGCGCGATAAATTCTTTTTTGCAGGGCTTTTATTGTAGGTATCTCTTCCCTTGGTATTCAACCAAATTGGACTTGATATTTTTTTTCAACAAAGCTGTAATCGATTATTCCTCAAAGAGAAATCGATTAGTCGCCTCTGTCCCTCTTAATCGATTACTCGTTTCTTTTTAATCGATTAAAATCCAAAAACGTCTTTAGCGCTGATTCACCTTTTAATCGATTAATTTTGTTCAATTAATCGATTAGACTCATCTGTCCATATTAATCGATTAACCATCTCTATTTAATCGATTAATAGCTTGAAAAGAGACGTCTGGTTCTGCTTACTTCTAATCGATTAATAAGCTTAACTTAATCGATTAGCCTCGGCTGTGTTCCCTAATCGATTAAATACCTGTGATTAATCGATTAATAGTCGATTTTTGCCTTATATCACACCCAGTCTTCGTCTTCTTCGCCATTCCCTTTTTCGACAGAGAAACCCTAGCTTCTTCCCTTCTCAATTTTTTTCTCAATCTTCATCATAAAATTCCCAAATTTCTTCCATTTTTTTGCCAAATTTCATCAATTTCAAAAAGGAAGAATGCCAAGGTGCAAGAACGCTTCCTCGGGTCAAGAAACGACGGCAGAGGAGAATGAGAGGCCATGGCGTCGTGAAGGGAGCAAGTACATTCACATTCAAACGGGTCTCGCCTTCAACACTGGGGCTTCAGTTGAGAGGTTCCACAACATCTTCCTCACGAAGGAGATCGTCTCTCCCAAGATCGTGAACAAGGACCTCTTCAAATCGGCGACCTATGCCCCGAGTAAGTCTATGTTCTTTCAGCAAGGTTTGTTGTCCTCTTGTGGCTTTTTAAAGAAAACTCTTGCCATCTTTTTCCTTCAATAGTCCGGCATTGTTTAAGGGGGAAGTTTATCGTTTGATAATGCCAAAAGGGGGAAGGAAGGATCGTTGAGAAAACATTATTTTCAAATTTTTTTTTTCCGCTTATTAATCCGATAATTATTTTTGCACTTCTCTAACCTTGCAGGGGGAATTATTCTTAAAAAGGAAGTATTTTCTGAACTCTTACTTTGCTCTTTCTCAACTATGTTTGTCATTATCAAAAAGTGGAAAATTGTTGGACATGAGTTCAAACCCCTTTATTATTTTTTGGATTATTTTTGTTTTGATGAATGACAAACAGGATGATTAAATCTATATTCGAAAACTTTTTTTCGGATCGAGAAAAGCAAAGAAGGGCATCAAGAAGTTTCGACGATAAAATTCACGCTCACCCCTACGCAGTTTTCTTGAAGTGAAGCGAAGACTCCGAAGATTTTTTTATTAAGTCTAGGAATTTTTGTAAGGATGACATTATCTTCTGCACAATCAAATTATTTTTGTGACGGATAAAAATTATTTTTGAGTCAGTTGAAAAATCACTTTTACTCTGTCTAAAATATTTTAGTGAGTCAGTTTCAAAATAAGTGTGTCAAAATTTCTTTAAAACATTTTTTAAGATTACACAATTTTCTTTGGTGAGAAAAATATACTTTAAATATTTTTCGTGTATTGTTTGACACACAAAATAATTTTTT